TGTTATTATCTATATCTATGAACTGTACCTCACTTGAGGGCCACTAGATTAAAATAGTATAAACAAAGTTGCAGGTCTGGGGGGGGATTTTTTTTTAAAAAAAAGTAAAGGTACTGTAGCAAGTAAAGGTACAAAAGCCCACCCCTTTTTGAAAATGCATTGCATGCATGACAGAAATAAAAATGGAGCAGGGTTTCAATCAAATGACTACAGATACCTTAACTCTTAACTTTCTTGATCCCTTGGATGCACTGTGAATTATCCCTTTGGAGACACTTTGAGAGGCATACCCCACCTCTAAAGACAAAACAGTTGTGCCTCATGTTGGCAGCATCCTCAAGCAGCACCAATAGTTAGAGGAGATTTCTATACATGCACAGAAACTTTTCTCAGCCTTTCCAGTCACTCACTATAAGTACTAGAAAATACCTCTGCAGGGAAGAGAAGCCTTTTTCAACTAATGGAACTGCCATGTGAGGCTTCAAGGTGGTGCCAAATGCATCAATGAGATAAATAGTAGCTCCCTTGCATACTGTAAAAATCCATTTTGAGCCATTTTGATTTGTCCTAAAAGAAGACACAGGAGTAAAGTAGCATTTCAATTTGCCACAGGAAGTCTATCCCCTTTTTATCTTCTAGACTGATTGTCTCAGAACTCTTCTAACCTGCTGTGCACTTTGGTGATTAAAAAGGCCAAGGGTTGAACTTCCTTTGCTTTAGGGTATGTGACACGTCATTCCTTTGTCATTTTCATATACAGACTTGCTTTAAGATATCAGGAATTCAAGCCAGTGCAGGCAAATAGTAAAAACTATACACAGTGGCCATTTTCTTTCTATAATAATGTGCCTAGTCATATGCCTTGAACATATAGAATCCTTGCAGAACAAAATATATTGGCAGAAACAATTAAGAAATATTTTCAAATTGTTTTAAAGTATCCAAAAGTTTATTTATTTATCTTTTCATCTCTCAATCTGATCCTTATTTCTCTAAAGTGTTTATGTTTTGGAAGATTATTTGGCAATCAGATTCTCTGTCACATTTCCTTTTCTCCTGCAATTAATTCTATTTTACTACTTAGTTTTTGAGTTTTTCTTTACAGTTCAATTAATATGCTGTATATCATCCTTTAGCTAGCAGAAAACTGTATGAGCATAAAATTTGGAAGTAAGGGCATATCTCCACTGGAAATCCCCTTTCTGCTTCCATAACCTCTTTTCAAACTTGAAAGCTAATGTCCTAATTTTATGTATATAGGGCAGTGATGGCTAATCTTTTTGCCATTGCGTGCGAGGAGCAGGGGGGGTCACGCGTGCACGTGCCCACACCCATAATTCTATGCACCCTGCCCCCGCGTAGGTGCGTGTAACCCCTCCCCCTGCTTCCCCCGCTCCTGACATGCGATGGCACGGTGGGCCCGTTTTTTGCTCTCCCCAGCCTCCAGAGCCTTTCTAGGACTCTGGGGAGGGCGAAAATGGCCTCCTCCCCCCCCCCAGAGGCCCTCCGGGAGACGAAAACAGCCCATTTGCCAACTTCCAGTCCTACCGGAGGGCCTCCATTTTCACCCTCCCCAGACTCCTAGAAAGGCTCTGGAGGCTGGGGAGAGAGAAAAACGGGCCTTCCCCACCACCCCCGAGGTCCTCCAGAGGCTGGAAACAGCCTGTTTCCCTACTTCTGGTGGGCCCAGAAGGCCTGAAAATCAGCTGGACGGTATACACATGCACACTGGAGCTGAGCTCGCGTCCCCACTGGTTTGGCTAAGCGTGCCATCTGTGGCACGTGTGCCATAGGTTCACCATCACGGATGTAGGGCATCTTAAGTATTCCTATTGGTTCAGTCCTCTGGCTTTATGTGCCTGCCCATTTCTAGACATCACTAACTTACAAGAAACCACTGATATGATTAGCAAATGGTTTTGACAGATGGCTAGATCTATAGTTAAGCAATTTGTTAAAACTGAATTCTGGGTTTATGTACACAAATTTGTGTTGGACTTGTCTGCAATGTGGAGGTGAATTTTGACATTTAAATAGTACTCCCCTTTGTACAAAGTTAGCACCCACACCCCTCCTAGAAGAATGAAATATTTTGAGAAATATTTAAAAAGGCAGAATATTATATTTCCTTAAAGGAGAAAGATGCTCTTGGAAAGCAGTCCCCACCTTTCTTAATAGCCCCAGCAGGACTACAAGACAAAAGATCTCCAGCTCCAGGGTAATGGGATTAAGACATGACCCTCCAGGACATAATAGGATTAACCCATCTAGTAGCAGAGCTCACTACATGGTGCAATCTAAGGATCACCCAGCAAGCTTCAACCAAACTTGGGAGCTCAGACAACCTACAAAGTTAGCTATGACCCCCACAACAGCCAATAGAATACATGTTTTTGCACAGGAAGTTCAAATGTAAAGCCCAAGAGAAGGTATAAAAGCCACCCTCTCTCAATTCCATGTGGTCAGCTGCACTAGGATCATGTGCTGGTGGAGGTTTTGTTCACCATTAAACCCTCTTTCCAATCAGCCTCTGTCTCTCCAGTTCAGGGATGAAATCTAAAATTTGTTACTACCGGTTCTGTGGGTGTCTGTCGGCCGAAGAGGTTGTAGAAAAAATGCTTTTAAAAGCCTCTGATGATTTCAGATGAGCCGCGTGATCATGAGAGCCTTTTTTTTTTAACTTTTAAAAGCATTTTTTTGGCCAAAGAGGTTGTAGAAAAAATGCTCTTAAAAGTAAAAAAAAAAAAGCCTCTGATGATCACGCTGCTCAGCTGGGCATGGGGGGCGCCAGGGATTTTTGCTACCGGTTCTCCCACTGCCATTGCTACCGGGTCAGGCGATCCGGTCCGAACCGGGAGCATTTCACCCCTGCTCCAGTTCTTTTTGGAATTGAACCAGATGGATATTTCTTCCAACACCTTTATCTGTGCAAGCCTGATGAGATTGATCATCAATCTTGCACAGGTATGGAGTTTTCAAGGAGTGCTAATCACATATAGAATTCTCACCAATTCACCAAGTTCCAAAATATATTGAACTGATAATACTCAAGGGAATGTCAGTGCTGGCAGCCAATGAATATAGCCAGTGATAGCAAACCTTTTCAGCACTGAGTGCCCAAACTGGAGCGTGCGTGCATGTGTGTGCATCGGAGCACCAGAAACCCGAAAATTAGCTGGCTGGTGCACACATGCCTGTTTTTTGGCTGTTTTTAGGGCCCGAAAAATAGCCTGAAAACGGTCCAGAAAACGGTCCAAAAAGCAGACTGAAAACGGCCTGAAAAATGGCCTGAAAAGTAGCCTGGTTTTTTGGCTGTTTTGGGGGCTATTTTCATGCCATTTTCCAGCGCTTCAGCACCTTTGAAGACCAGTTCACTCATGTGTACGCCGGAAACCAGAAGAGCAGCTGGTGATGGCGCGCATGCCCACAGAGAGGCCTCTGTGTGCTGCCTCTGGCACACATGCCATAGGTTCGCCATCACAGATATAACCAATAGAAAGTACTCTTTTAATTCTCCATTGGAGACAAGATGAAGGCAACATTATGGGGACTGGCAAAAAAATGATGTTGCCAGGATATATTTGTGGGATGATCAAATGATAGAGAGGAAAGGCTAAAAGTCTGTGAAATCACAGTGCCATCTTGTGGTAAAACATTAGATTCAAACAAAATTCTAACAAAACCTTTAACCTAGTGTAGGGATTTGGGGACCAGCCTTCAAAACTTTTTAACCCAAAAATTGGATACACAGAATACAGATCATAACTATAGTCGATCTTTAAACTAACTTTAAAAACTCCATTCAAAAAAAAAAAAGGAGAGAAATATCATGATTACGAATTAATTACAAATAATACTTCCCAAAAGTATTTTTTTTTTCAAAAGGCAACTGGACCTTGTTTTTCCTTGAAACCGTTTCGCTTTTCATCTAGTTCAGAAATGAAGAAGCTTTTGGGATGAAAAGCGAAACGTCTTCAAGAAAAAAACAGAAGTCGTTGCCTTTTGAAAAAAAAACACCTTTGGGATAACTATAACCTGGATGACTGAGAATCTTCCTACACGAGTAATACTATTCCAAGGCATCACTTCTCATAAAGATCAGTTTTAAAATATATTTTATTGAGGAGTCCCTGGGGCTCTCCGAGTTTGGTCCTTTGTTTGCAGATGTTTCGATACTCGATTAGGTAATTTCTTCAGTGCTAGAAGGGAGTAAATGGGCTTTGCTCTGTTTATATCCAGTGATTTGCCCTGCCAGTGTTGGTGGGAGTGTTATTTTCTCCTTCGTGGTCCCTTGATTGTGTTGTTGTTTGCTACCAGATCGTTTGCTTATGGGGGAGGAGTAGCCAACGGACTCTCAATGCAATCATTAACACTGCACGGAAGGCCGGGGGGAGGGGAGGGGGAATTTTGAGCGACCCCCTCAACGGCGCATTTTCGAAGTGCAACGTAGGAAGAAGCGCGACTTCCGCAGCTTTACATTATGCTTCCGGGACGCCGTTACTCCGCCCCCACGTTCCCGCGAGGATTTCCCCGCGGGGAGTGGCCAGGGCTTGCTCTGCTCCGCTTCCCCAGTTATGGCGGCGGCGGCGGCGGCGGCGGCACCTCCTGCTGCTGCTGCTGCTGCTGCTGCTGCGGCTGTTGTTGTTGCTGCGGGGAGGGAGAAGGCAGAGGGGGGAGGGGACGTCCCCTCCCCCCCGCTGCCGCCACCCCCCCGCGGCCAGAGAGCAGGTGAGTGAGAGTGGCAGGCAAGGCGGCTGGCCGGCCGGCCGCAGGGGAGCGGGCAGATCCTGGAGCTGCAGGGAGGGCGAGGGTGGGGAGCGCAAGAGGAAGTGACGCCTAGGAAACGGGCGACGGCCTCAGTTGGAATGGGGGACTCGGGGCTCGGGCGGGTGGAGAGGGCCGAGGGAAGAGGACAATGGAGGTGCCTTGTCCTCGGAGGGGGGTGCAAGGGAGCCACGTGCCTTCCGGCCAGTGAGAGCGGTGGGGGGAGGGGGGGGCTGTGTGGAAGAGCAGGTCCGTTGGGAGGCACCAACTGTTCCGATGCTCCGCTCTCCTGGCCCAGACTATCCAATCAGATGCAGGTGCTTCTGGGAGCTTGCGGAGCCCCCAGGATAGACAACCTGTTAAAAGAATATGAGGGGAAAGGCCGCCATTCCTATTTGGAATGAAAAGCAGCCTGTTTTGAGGAGGGCTAATCCAATAACAAGCCAGCCTTATTTTTCTTCTGCCTTACAACAGAAGTTGGAAGTAGCAAAAGATAAGGATCCTGATTCCTCTTCCGTTTTTTGACATCCACTTTTTTGCTGCCACCATCCCCTGCCATACACACATATATTGATGGAGAAAATTGGATCTAGAGATTGAGCTAGACCTCTTTTCTGTTTATTTGTCCTTTTGTTAGTTGACGGGTTACAGAGGGTTGGTTAGAAAAAGAGCAGCAAATCACCCATTTCTCCTACTTCCTTTGAATGGCAGGCTATTAAAAGTTATTTGTTGACCTAGTGTAATCCCTTACGTCACGGGTGTCAAACTCTCCACGTCATGTTGCCGTCATGTGACGTTTCACGATGTTTTTCCCATTCGCGGAGCTGGGGTGGGCATGGGCTGCGCGTGACACATCCGGCCTGCAGGCCGCCAGTTTGACACCCCTGCCCTACGTCATTCATGAAAAAAGACTACCAGAGGAAGGTAACTCCATTTGCCACAATGCCATTCAGAGGAGAAGCACACGTGAGTGAGACTGTTGGCAGGTATGTACTCTGCCCACTCCTCAGTGGCAATAGGAAATTTGACTCATCAGATGTTGCTGTACTTCATGCTCTGTTGGAAGTTGTAGCTCAGTAACATCTGGAGGTTCTCCATCCTTCCTTTATGTTTCATTGCCTAGGAGAGCAGCCAGTGATTCAGATGGTGTATCTGCCTCATCTTCTCTGCACTGACAGCTTTGAAAAGTCAGGAAAAAAGCAGTAGAAGCTATAGTCCTTTTTTATGCTTCCTGTCCTTTTTCTTTCTTTCTTGACAGGAGGAAAGAAGGATTGCTACTTCCCATTTGCTGTTTTATTGCCTTTCATCTCCAATGGGCTGCTTGTTACCCTTCCTTTGAAGAAAAGTGTTTAATTATTTTTTGCCCAAGTACATTCACAGTATCCTAAGGCACAACCCTTAGTTTTAAATATTGTAAGCTGGCCAATGGCAGCCTAGAATGTATTGGAATTGCATAAAGGAAATAAACATTCCATATTATAAGGAACACTCAAAATGACTTGCATCCAAACCACAATAAAATATAATAAAGGAGTCATAATCTGAAAATAAGCTTTCATCATTATCGGGTAGAATGGAATTGAATAAAGGTTATATGAAGGAGTCTTGACAGTACAATTAACAAAGTAAGTAGATTTTTTTGATGAGACCTTAGTAACCATTATGCACTGGATTCCTTTGTGGGTCTAGAAATTGCTCATTTTTTTACCTCTGATGAAAAACAGTATATTTCAGAAGCAGAGAAAACAGGCTAGGTCCTAGCCGCTAGGAACTTCTTAGGGATGTGAGAGATTTCTTTCTTAAAACTCCTCCTAAACTTAGCATTTCAAAGGAGATATTACCAGTGAGTGGAACTTTAAATCTCAGCAAATGCACACAAGACATGCAGAGGAACATAATACAATTTGAGTTTCTTGAGTAAGAGGAGCTTTTTGCCATATAAAGCTGCTTATTGTTGGTTCAACTAAACTAATGATTCATATAGTACTTTCCCAAAGTATTTCCTAGCCTTGAGAGCAAATCATTTTAACTAGAGATACCAGTATAATGGATATATGCATGCATACAGAATATTGCTTATTCCAATGAACTGTGCCCTACCTTGACAGGTGATCTGTGGCAATAAACTGGTCTGGAAGATGAAGAATTATTAAGTCATCAGTCATTAAATTGAAAATATGCCACTTCAGTAGATTTGTAGACAAAATTTGAATCATTATAAGAGTGGAACATTTAAAATCTAAATGCATGTAAGATGTCACACATTTTTATTTACACTATAACAATATTCACAAAGATATTTACATTATGATTTTTTTGAAATAGTATTTAAAACAATTTAATGAAATTAGGGGGAGGGTCATACAATCTTGTCACTCCAATAATTTTATATTTATCTTTCATAAGCTGAATTCCTTATTCCTAAAGTGGAGCAAGATGATAATCTATCTTGCACTTTTAAATATTTATCTGAGAGTAGATTTCATTGCATTCTGTGGATATTTTGATTCTGATAGTTTTTAAACAGTTCTTTTCAAACAATTTAGTAGGTTTGAGAACACTTCAGAACTGAATCTCAGGTCCTTTGTGTTAATTAAAGGGGCCCATCTTTTTTCAGAATGTGAAACTGAAAACAATCATATGTTTTAAGATTCTCATTAATTTGAAACAATCAACTATTTTGTCTCATGAAGAAACCTGAAAAAATACTTCATGAATGAGAGGTATGATGCTGGTGTGAGGTTCAAAGCACTGTTTCTGAATCATCATTAAAGTGTACACAGTTTCAGAAAGTAACTCGGCACAAAATAAGAGTTGTTTTAAATAAGTCCAAGCATGTTCAATTAGGTACGTTTTTCTTTATTTCCACCTTTTGAACCATATATGTATACACATGCAGATAATAAAAATGGTTTTAGAATTATTTTCAGTTTGGATAGTGGATTACCTGCAGGAATAGCTGGCTACTATTCAGGAAACAAAAGTCTTCATATTTTCTTGATAGTTTGAAACTAATCTATGAAAATCTACTGATATAAATCATATGCAATGAATCTTTGATTTGCTATCCTTATAGCAAATAATATGAACATATCTGAAAATATTAATCTAGAATATTTTATAAGTTACTTTTTTATTTAATTATAAAGTATTATAAAATACAAAATAAATAGAAAAGCAGTGGGAGGGATAAAGGGAAATAGAAATGAGGAAAGATAAGGGAAAAAAAAGAAGCATTGATTTCCAACTCTTGTTACAGTAAAATAAGGCATTAACATCAAATCACAATTTTTTGTTTTTTCACAATAATATGAACAAGCCATTTCTATAAAGATCTATCAGTCTAATCTGTAAAACCCAAAATCAGATTTTCATTTTTTTCTAGAATATTATAAACATTGCCCTGTGTAGAACTGTGTAAAATCTTGTTAGTTGCTACTTTGTACGAAAGCATAATTCTCCCTTCGTTTTCAAAAAATAGAGTGGTGATAATTTAGAGTATCTAGAAGAATCTTATGTTACCAAGAAATATATTAATGTATAATGATATAAAAACATCAAAAAAATTTAATTTAGAAAGTTATATTTGAGATAATAGCATGAGTGAAATGTTTTGGCATGCTCAGCACACTTCATATTATGTTTTTATACAGTACTCTACCAGTATCTCTAAGTTAGATGTTAAGGAGACAGTTCACTATGGCACTGTCTCTACACTACACTGACAAATTTGCTTTAGAAACATAGTGAATTCATAGTAGAGGTAAAACATGAATTAGGATTTCCTAGTTTTGGATTAAGCAACCTTAGTACACTCCAGAAGTTTTGAATTTAAATTCTCATCAGCCCTGCCATCATTGGTAACGGCAAGAGACCACAGTAGTAATCCAAGCTGTATGTGTGGTATTTATCTTTCTCAGCTACTAGAATTCAGCAGTTATTTATTTTTCTGCTAGTTGACTATGTACAATCTGGCCCAAGTAGTAAGCACAAGAAAAATATACATCATATATCCTGTGATCAGCTCCCATGTGGACTTTCTGTACTCTTAGACTCAGAGGCCCAACTGTTTCAGTATGTTGGCATTTGGGCTAAGTTTGCAACTGTCACAAAAGCCTTTCTGTTCAAAAACAAAAATCAGAAATGATAAAAGGTTTAAGACTTGCTCTAGGAGTCTTAAAAATGGGCAATACCTATTTTAGTGCACAATCACTTTGAAGAGGGTGTTGCTTTAATCTGCTACAACCATAAAAATAGCAAAAATTTTCTGGTTCATAAAATGCTTTTTTTGATTAGTATAAGAGATGTGGTATAGTATTTATAGACCCGTGTCATGGTCAGATCACTCTCCGTCTCGACCTTCGAACCGCTGCACCCCGCCGCAGGGAGGCGGAGCCGGTAAGATGGTTCCGCCCCAGGCGCCTGATGGAACCTGACAGATTCTAGATGGAGCTTGGGCCATTTCCTGAGGCTCTGGCACACGCCTCGACTGGAGACCTAGTGGCCACCTGGGATAGGGTGGCCGCTGGAGCTCTGGATCGGGTCGTGCCTTTGCGGCCTCTGACCCGGCGCCGATCTCAATTGGCTCCTTGGTTTACCGAGGAGCTGAGGGAGTTGAAGCGCCGGAAAAGACGCCTAAAGAGTAGTTGGAGGGCCAGTCTTTCTGAATCTGACCAGACACTAGTAAGATCCCATATTAGGAATTACTTAGTGGCGATAAAAGCAGCGAAATGTAGCTATTTTGCTGCTCTTATTGCGTCATCAGATAACCGCCCGGCCACCCTCTTTAGGGTGACCCGCTCCCTGCTCCACCAGGAAGCGCGGGAGGACCCCTTGGAGGGTAGAGCCGAGGATTTTGTTCAGTATCTGTATGACAAAATCACTCAGATTCAGGAAGATTTGGACTCCGACTGGGTAGTCTCGGGGAGGGACTGGGGCAGGTCTTGAGAATGTTATCTGGGAAGAGTTTGATCCTGTGACCCCTGAGGACGTGGACAGGATTCTGGGTAGACTGACGCGACCACTTGTTTATTGGACCCGTGTCTTCCTGGTTAGTACTGGCTTCCCGGGAAGTGACACGAGGCTGGCTCCAGGGGATTATAAATGCTTCGCTGGGTGAGGGTGACTTTTCCGCCGCCTTGAAAGAGGCGGTGGTGAGGCCCCTCCTCAAGAAGCCTTCCCTGGACCGGCAATGTTGGTAAATTATCGTCCGGTCTCCAACCTTCGCTTTGTGGCAAAGGTTGTTGAGAGTGTGGTTGCGCATCAGTTCCCCCAGCACCTGGATGAAACGTATCTGGATCCGTTCCAGTCAGGCTTCAGGCCCGGGTACAGCACGGAAACAGCATTGGTCGCGTTGGTAGATGATCTCTGGAGGGCTCGGGACAGGGGGTGCTCCTCTGTCCTGGTCCTGTTAGATCTCTCAGCGGCTTTTGATACCATCGACCATGGTATCATGCTGCACCGGTTGGAAGAGTTAGGAGTGGGAGGCACTGTGTTGCAGTGGTTCTCCTTTCTCTCTGACCGGTCGCAGTCTGTGTTGACAGGGGGGCAGAGGTTGACCCCGAGGTCCCTCATATGCGGGGTGCCGCAAGGGTCGGTCCTCTCGCCCCTCCTGTTCAACATTTATGTGAAGCCGCTGAGTGAGATCATTCGGGGTGAAGTACCACCAGTACGCTGACGACACCCAGCTGTACATCTCCACCCCAGACCACCCCAACAATGCCCTTGAAGTGATGTCCCGGTGCCTGGAGGCCGTGCGGATCTGGATGGGGAGGAATAGGCTCAGGCTCAACCCATCCAAGACCGAGTGTCTGTGGTTTCCAACGTCCCGATATAGTCAGTTGGCGCCATCACTGATTATTGGGGGCAAATTCTTGGCCCCCACGGAGAGGGCTCGTAACTTGGGCAGCCTCCTGGATTCACGGCTGTCTTTAGAAGAGCATCTGATGGCCGTGACCGGGAGGATTTTTCATCAGGTTCGCCTGATCCGCCAGTTGCGTCCCTTTCTGGATCGGGACTCGTTACACACAGTCACTCATGCCGTCGTCACCTCCCGCCTGGACTATTGTAACGCTCTTTACATGGGGCTCCCCTTGAGGAGCACCCGGAGGCTCCAACTGGCGCAGAGTGCGGCCACGCGGGTGGTAATGGGAGCAACATGGCATTCCCATGTAACACCCCTCCTGCTAGAGCTGCACTGGCTCCCGGTGGTCTTCCGGGTGCGCTTCAAGGTTTTGGTTACCACCTTTAAAGCGCTCCATGGCTCAGGACCTGGGTACTTGCAGGACCGTCTACTACCACCAATAGCCTCCCACCGGCCGGTATGCTCCCACAGAGAGGGGCTTCTCCGGGTGCCGTCGGCCAAACAATGCCGACTGGCGGCCCCCAGGGGGAGAGCCTTCTCTGTGGGGGCATCTACTATCTGGAACAAGCTCCCCCCGGAGATACGGAGGATCCCGGATCTGCGCACCTTCCGCCGCGCCTTAAAGACCTTTTTATTTCACCAGGCGGGCCTGGCCTAATTTTCTCCCTCTTTTATAAAAGATTTTTAATTTTTTAATTTTTTTTAGTATTTTATATATTCAAATTTTAAAATTGGTTTTAAATTGATTGGGGTTTTAATTTG